ATGATGATGGCAACAAACGTGCAAATGTGCTTGATACAATGAATGTATGTATGGATTGTGATAAGAATTGTTTGAGCCCCCAAGAAAATGATTTAAAAATAAATAAATAAATGCCAAATAAACAAACAAAAAAATGGACTTTGTTGTGTTTATGAGACTCTTACCCTCCAGGAAGTTACGCCCAACCAAGGGGGCCAGGATCACAGTTTCAGGGGATACCAAGATCCATTGGCATAACCTGGTTCACAAAGACAATGTCTGATATCTCACTGTAGGGAGTAACGATTAGGGTCTCAAAAGCTTGAGAGCAGCATCCAAGGTGCAACTATTGGTCTCTCCTCATGTGGAGGACAGACGAGTGATGAAAATAGAAAGACACAAGGAAACAGTGAGTCCAGTGGTATCTGAGGTTGGGTTCTCTGGAGATGGACGAATGGCCTACACAACTTCAGTCTCCATCATCCTAAAACCAGAAGAGCTAGATGGTGCCCAGCTACGACTACCCACTGCTCTGAGAAGGTTCACATTGGAAATTCCCAGATAGAGTGGAAGGAAAATGTGGAACAGAACTCAGATCATAAATGAGACCAGCTTATTGGTCAGAACGAAGAAGGTGGGACCGCTAAGACTCTGGTTCTGACTCATGCTTCAGGTCTGGAACCGGATCCACCCCCGCTGTAAAATAATCAACCGTTTGAGATCAAAAGGTCAGTATTTATCCAAGACAAAGTTCAGAGGATTAGGAAAGAAGTCAGAGCAGATCAGGAAGCACAGGGAGAGAGTTGATTAAGGGATAGTTCACTGAGAGGGTTGCAATGGATGAGTTGAAGCAAAATGTGCATGAATTGTTGAAGGAAAAACTGATGATCTGCAGTGCAAACCTTCACGAAACTCGCAAAACAAAGTTTTAAGAAAGTGAGTGTCTGCCCCAAATGAGCCACACTTGAGTTCCACCCGTTGCCATTGAGTCAACTGGGACTTATGTGTGGCACCTTGCTGTGTGTCGAAGTCGAACCTCGCCCACAGGGCTTTCAGTGGCTGATGTCTCTGTCGGAGATACTAGGATTTTCTTCTGAGATGTCTGTGGCTGGCCTTGGGTGGTAGCCAAGCGCATTAACTATGTGTCCCAACTAGGGACTCCACAGTTCAGTTCAATTCCTATTTATTTTTAACAACGCAATACTTTTGCAAAAATGTTTGCACCTCAAATGTTTAACTATGCTCATTGTTAAAATAAGAGTGTCACAATCAAGGAGCACACTGCTGGAAATCGAACAATGGCCTCCAAATCCCACTTATGCCCAGGTATCGACAAAGTCAACACTAAACTTGGTCACAGCATTGCCACTTGACCCCTTGTCTCACTGGAGAACAGATAATGTTCTAACATGGCAAGCAGTAGCAACAAAGAACCGAACTTATTCTTATTTTTAGTTTCATGTCCATTAATCTAGTAACGAAGATGTTAGGTCGTTCTAATTTATTGATCTAGTTTACCTGTTACTGTCACACAATCTAGTACTGGGAATTCCCCGAACTAAGTGTTTTTATTCATGGATACTCATTCTACTTTCAGAAAAACATCACATGTTCTTTCACAGATACAAGGCTAATAGGTTACAGCATCATGGTAATCAAGCAAAGGCGTTGGTTAGTTTGGTCAGTGGTCTCACTTTCATTCTCCTTTTTTAGGTCAAGGAGACCCCCTGGATGGCTATGTAAATACTGAGGGGGCTTCTCTGTTCAGTGGCACAAAGAAGCAGCTCAGAGCAGGAAGTGTGGATGAGTGTGCAAAGACATGTGAGGAGGAACTCGAATTTGTCTGCAGGTATTCCCGTCGGCATGCAACCCCACTGAAATCTTGCTGTCTGAGACACTTACTCAAGGATTTATGAACAAAAATGGGATTTAGGAGGAAAGAGGAAATTTTGTGAAATCAGAATTTGAAATCCCTATTTGCTCCCTGATTCTGGGAGCATAGACTAGCAGTTCCTTATTGAGGTTTATTTGCATCCATTTCAGGAAATACTTGAAACCAAAGTTACTTATTTTTATACATGCCATAAACATTAGTAGCTGTTGTTCTAAGCTCTATTTTTTAACATTACCATCAATATCTATTGGAATGAGGATCATGTGAATGGAAGTGACCTAGGTCCCAAGGAGCAAAAGAAGTACAGATAGATATATGATTCAGTGTCTGCCTTGTGTGTGTGTATATGGTATACTAAAAAAATGGTATTAATGTAAAAGTTATATATGGCAGCTAATAGGATGTATTGGCCTGTATTTGGCTCATGAAAGTGTCATAATCCACAATCTATAAAGTTTCAGAGGAAAGAGCCACCCTAGGGGTTTGCATCACTAGAGATTTCCTGGAGGAGTTAGGGATTGATTTAGATGTGTTAGGCTGGGTTGTCTAGAGAAACAAACCAGTGACATTCATTTATGTAGAAGGAAAAAATTCATATAAAAAATCTTATATCAAGAAGGCATCCCAATCCAGTCCAATTCAAGTCCGGAAGTCCTATACTAGCCAGGCCCTCTTGAGACTCCCATCCCTGCGGGGCAATGATGCAGAAAGGTGTAACTGATGCAGGAAGATCACAGGCCAGTGGGTGCAGAGTGGATCTGAAGTGGATCTGCAGTCTGGTAGGGTGTCGACAGCTCCCAGGGTCGGGTGGCCCACATGAGGCCACCCCTGGAGGCAGGCAGAGACCCAGCAAGCAGAGAGGAGAAGTGGCAGAGAAAGAGAGGGAAGTCCCCTGTTTCACCCTTATAAGAAGGCCACCCCCCAGGAGGCATCATCAGACTGTGCGCTGACTGACGGGTGTACTCCAGCCCTCCGCTTCTATCCAAAATCAAGCTGGCATAAAGTCATCCACACTTTGAAGAGTGGGCTACATCTCGGTTAGGCAACGGCATGGGATGGCCAGACTGACTAACACGGGAAAGCTCACACAGTGAGTGTCCTGGTGGAAGAGCAGCTGGGACAGCAGACTGTGGATGGCTTTGACAGCCAGACGGAGCACCCTCGGCAGATGGTGCTGATGGGAAAAGCAGCGGACTGGGGCTGGAGAGAATGTAGACACAGGCTCCCCGAGCCACGCAGACCATCTTAGGGACGGTCATTGCCAGTAATCAGTTACTTCTTTTCAACATAAAACCAGTCTGGCTCTTCATGCAATTTCAAAGCGGAGCGAGGAAAGAGGAAAAGAGTTGGGACAGAAAGAGAATGTGGGTGAAAGGGACAGAAAGGGAGAAGGTGGGTGAACACAGCAGCCGCTTCCTGGTTGATGAGGTTAGGAGGCTCTTTGGTTGCTCTGTCAAAGTAACGTGCAAGGTCATGACCCTGAGTCTCCCTGCCCTTCAAGAGACAGTCTTTGTGGGCGTTGTTAGCAAGTCAGGCTGATGAGCAAGGTTGGCCTACATGTGGCCTGTGCGCTGACTTTCCACCCCTCCAGGTCATTCCAGTTCCACAGGAAGGAGCAACAATGCGTGATAATGGCTGAAAACAGCAAGTCTTCCACCGTCCTCAGGAGGAGAGACGTCGTTTTATTTGAAAAGAAAGGTGCGTTTCATGTTTTCTCCTCCTCCTCCTCTTCCTTCTCCTCTTCTTCTTCCTCTTCTACTTCCTCTTCCTCCTCCTCCTCTCTTCCTCCTCCTCCTCCTCTCTTCCTCCTCCTCCTCTTATTCCTTGGCCACTCCTCTTCCCTGTCCGACTCCCGCTTCATCTTTATCTCTTTAATTTATGACACTGGAAAGCAAAGTCGCTTTGGAATGGTGACACCCAGTTCTTAGTGAGTGCAGGGTGTGGCTACTATCCAGCTCCACCAATTTTCCTCTCACTTCGTATCTTGGGTTTCACATTTTCTTGTTTGACTGACTTCTACCTTTAGGACCCTGAAAAGGAAACATTCCAAGTTTGATTTTATTCTTTCAGTGGGGAGGTGGGAGGCCATATGGCTTGAGCCTCTACTTCTGCGGGGGGATGGTGGCTGTTCGCCACAGGCACATTTGGATAAAGCGACTTCTTCATTTTCATCTTTAATTTTCAATTTAGGGTGATGGTCTTTGTTCCCTGCTGGCTCTGAAATAGGCAAGGCGCCGTTTCTTCCTCCCTAGCCTCCTCTCAGGAGCCCTGGTGGCACAGTGGTTACACATTGGACAGTTTGAAACCACCAGCCGGTTCATGGGAGAAAGACAGGGCTTTCCAATGCCAGGAAGAGTTACTGTCTCGGAAACCTACGGGAGGCAGGTCTGCCCTGTCCTCTAGGGGCATGATGAGTAGGTATCGACTCTAGGGCAGTGAGACTCCTCTCAGATGCTGGGGACATGGTCGCATCATTTAGGGTAAGTGACCTGGATTTCTTTGGCGTCCTAGATCTCTTAGATACAAACAAAAGCCACCATGCAGCGATTACGAAGACTTAAATGAATTTGTGACACCTTTTAATGTATGGCACTGTTTGCTAGGTGTTAAAAGCATTTATAATAACAACTTAGCACTCCAAGTATTTTACAGTGAGGGTGTTAAAGGAGATCAAAGCAAAACACACAAACAAACTGAAAACAACACTTGTCTTAGTGCGTTCCAGAAACAGAAAGAAAAGAAAGATCCAACCAAAATAAGCTTCAAAGGAGGGGCTGGGTGGGCTGGTTGAGGCTAACAGCAGAGAGGTTAGCCAATGTCTTTTCTTTTTTTTTATGACCATAGAGATTTATTACGAAGATGCTTTTTAAAAATGAAAAACTTCATTGGTGCAAAAAGGCTAGGGAAATTGTGCTGAGGAATTCTCCCCCACCCCTATGATAGACCTGCTCATTCTCTGTGGGCAGCAAGGACTGCCCTAGGAGGAGTTTATTGGGAGACCTTTCCCCGTCCATCCTACAACCCTGATCTTTATCCTTCGGGTTTATGCATCCCAGAACTCAAAGAATCTTTAAAAGGAACACGACTTGAGTCCCAAGGGGTAGAATTCTTCAGGGAAGGGTTAGAACAAAACGAACCCTAACCAAACCACCAATTTCACTGTCTTCGAGTTGAAGCTGACTCATGGTGACCCTACAGGACCGGGTAGAGCTGTCCCTATGAGTTTCTGAGGCTCTAACTCTCTATGGGAGTAGAAAGCCCATCTTTCTACCTTGGAGCTGGCTGGTGGTTTTGAACTGCAGACCCTGGTGGCTAGCAGCTCAATGTGTAACCACTACACCAGCAGGGCAGGGCAGGGTTAGTGAAATGAAGACATGGCCTTCAGAAGTGCGGAGATCCAGATGAAGGAGACGCAGAACAACAATCACCTCCCATTTGGATCTTTCGTTGAATCAAGCGTTCTATGGGGTGTGTAGCAAAACTTTTAGACTCTCCCACAGAGGCGTTTATCATATCGCCTCGACAATGAGCTGCAGCCTCCTCTCCAGTTTCACTGCGAAAGCCCAACTTCTGATTCTCAAACATATCTCTTTGGGTGGAGACTGCTTCTGGGCATCTTGTCAATTGAGTCACCCATGATGTCCCTTCTACTATCCTTCTGGCCTTACCCCTGCAACTCGGGATCGCAGAACAGACTGAGATGAACCGGTTTTGGAAATTGTGATCGAAGGCTGTGATAGCTAAGGTGACTGATTCTCCTCCAGATTAGTGACTTCCAGGGGCTTTCCAAACGTTCATGGGAAAGCGGGATGAAAAGATAATGTGACTTTCCCAAGAACTTCCAGAAGTCCCCTTGCACATATTGCAGTCTTCTCCTTAGCGAACACAGGCACTTGAACATGACATTTGTTAATCATTCACCACAAGGAACCGGGGCAGGCATCCGCACTAGTTTGTAGCTGTTGGTGTCTAAGGTGAAGGGGAGGATGGAAGGTTATATAAACGGGGACTGGGACAGACAAACAGAGGGGTCAGAAGTCCACAGTTCAGTCACTGTACTGGGGCAATATCGACCGGGTACCAGTGTCGCAGGCTAGGTTTTCCTGAGGAGCCCTCTATGTCAGATCCTGGTGGCACTAACCTCCAGGTCCCTGCTGCCCCCTATGGCCACTGCCATCATCACCCACCCTGTGCCTGAGTGGCCACCATGGCTACTTAGAGATACAACGCGGCCAGCTAGCTCAGAAGCAACAAAGTCCACATGGAAGAAGCACACCAGCCTGTGTGATCACAAGGTATCGAAGGGATCAGGTATCAGGCATCAATAGAACAAAAAATCTTACCATAGTGAATGAGGGGAGGAGGGTGGAGTGGGGACCCAAAGCCCTTCTGTAGGCCACTGGACATCCCCTTACAGAAGGGTTGTGGGGAGGAGATGAGCCAGTCAGGGTGCAGTGTAGCAACGATGAAACATACAACTTTCCCCTAGTTCCTAAATGCTTCCTCCCTGCCCCCCCTCCACTACCATGATCTCAGTTCTACTGTACAAATCTGGCTAGACCAGAGGATGTACACTGGCACAGATAGGAACTGGAAACACAGGGAATCCAGGGGGGATGATCCTTTCAGCGCCAGTGGTAAGAGTGGCGATACTGGGAGGGTGGAGGGACGGTGGTTTGGAAAGGGGGAACCGATATAACCTCCTCCCTGGGGGATGGACAACAGAGAAGTGCGTGAAGGGAGATGTCGGACAGTGTAAGATATGACAAAATAATAATTTATAAATTATCAAGGGCTCATGAGGGAGGGGGGAGGGGGATGGAAAGGGAAAATGAGGAGCCGGTGCCAGGGGCTTAGGTGGAGAGCAAATGTTTTGAGAATGATGAGGACAATGAATGTACAAATGTGCTTTACACAATTGGATTGTGATAAGAGTTGTATGAGCCCCCGATAAAATGATAAAAAATAAAAATAAAATTCTTCGGAGTACACTTGGAATAAAATCTGAATGCTCACCAAATGCTTTTGGTAATTAGTATTTGCATCATCTAGTCTCGCTCCATGGCCCCTGTTCTGCCCAGCCACCTCTAGCTGCCAGACCACCCTCTCTCAAAGCTTCGACTCCCTGGCTGATCACACCGCTCGCTTTGCCAGGACCCCTGCCCTGCCCTGGCCAGCTGCAGCTCCTCTTGCCGTCTCAGTATCATTGCCCTTTCCTTCTGGGGCATCTTCCTGGGCTCCTGGGCTTTCCATTGCCCAAGTCCCTGGAGTTTGCCCGTTGTGGTAGATGAACGTTGTCTACTGTCACAAGGTATCAGAAGAAAGACGTGTTTGCCGTCCTTTTCCTCCGCGCGGAGGAAGGGAGCACTGACTCACTTCAGGTCTGTCACAGTGGGCTACGTAGGGGGCGGGGGCAGTTCACTGGATCGGCTGTGGACTGAATGATTGGAGGGCTGCTTCCACCCAGAGGCACCTCGGGCGGAAAGCCTGGAAATCCACGGCCCACAACGCCGGCTGCTGAACAGCCTACGGAGCACAGTCCTATTCGGACCCCGGAGCACAGTCCTATTCGGACCCCGATGGGGTCGCCACCGAATGTCGGAAGTGCCTTGGTGGCAGTCCTTTTATCTTGAATCGCAAGTCCTTTCCCCAAGTCATCGATCGGTCCATTTGAAAATGCGGTTAGAGAGGGGGCCTCAGGCAAGATGGGCCAGGTTTGCCTTGAGCATCCCGAGAGCTTCATGGAAAATGTACTTGAACGCTGGCACGGTTTGGAGCGCGAGCAGGGACTGTCTTTTTCTTTTTCTTTAAGAGAGGAAAGGCAGGCCTTTGCTTATTTATTTAGCTTCCCACTGTGCAACCACAGTAGGGTGAAGGTTATTGAGCAGACCCAAGTGGCGGATGCCGGGCCTCCCTGTGATTCCCCACCCCCAGTCTCCCCTATGTTAACTCTTCGACCCTTGGGAGCTTTGTCCTCCCGTAGGGCCTGCCCTGGGAGGGAAAGGCAGGTTTTTCAGAAACAGGCGGGAGTGAGGGTGCTGGGTTGGGGGGTGTTTTCCCTTCTGCAGTCGAGGTTGCATTTCTCCTCGGCAGGCCCCGGGGCAGCGAGGCCTGCTCAGTCTCCTGGCCGACCCCGGGTTCACCAGGGGCGTCTTCCCAGTCTATCTTTCAGAATGCAAGACTGGCAACGGAAGGAACTACAGGGGCACCATGGCCAAGACCAGATCTGGGGTGACCTGCCAGAAGTGGAGCGATACCACCCCTCACATACCCAAGTAAGACTTCTCCTGTCCCTGTGTTCCCCTGCTGCGCTTAGAACAACGCCCGGGCCTCGCCATCGGCGAGCAATGCACCCTGACGTGCTAATAACAGGCCTGCTCTTCCAAACACAGCCTTCAATGTGCTCCCCCCCTCCCCCCCACAGCTACACCCCGGGAAAATACCCTTCCGAGGGCCTGGAGGAGAACTACTGCCGGAACCCAGACAACGACGTGGAGGGGCCCTGGTGCTACACCACCAACCCAGTGCTCAGATTCCAATACTGTGACATCCCTGAGTGCGAAGGTCAGGAGGACAGGTGCCCACAGCTGCCCTGCAGCTGCACAGAGTTCACTTCGAACCCAGGAGTGTAGCCTTTGTCAAAGTTGAGTAATTGGATGTTCCATTGCTGGGTGAGCATTGACTGCTAACAGCAAGTTCAGCAGTTCAAATCCACCAACCCTATCCAGGTTCGTTATGGGTCCGGATGGACAAGATGGCAGTGTAGTTTGGCTCTTGGGAAGAAAACAAAAGCCGTGTCTTGAACACCCTGCCCTTGCTAGATTGCCTTAAGTTCTTACTGTTTGTATTTATTTAATTGTGAATCGGGTGACCATTTACAGAGGAAACCAGCATCCCATTCAAAATTTCAAGCACATTTTCTTTCCTCCCATTGACTGCAATCCCCACAACGAAACATCACGTAGCCCACTTCCTCCCTTTGCTTCCGGTTGCCATTCTTCCTTCCCTAACCCTTCTGAACTTTGGCCCTTTGCCCTCAAATGCTTGGATATTCTAAGGAGTCCGTGCCTCCTCAGCGTGTTGCTCCCTCTACTGTTGTTGTTTGAGTTGGTCCTGTCTCTCCCATAGCCTCCCACGCCCCACTCACAACACAACAAAGCAGCGCCCGGTCCTGCACCATCCACACAATTGTTCCTAGGCTTCAGCCCATTGCTGCAGCCACATTTCCCTTACAGACCTGTCCATTTCTAGTGTTTGGCTTAAGTTATTTCTATGAAGATGTTACTCCAAGATGTACAAACAAAATTCGATGGGAACGTTAGAGACCAACATCTTATCTTTATAACCTGGATGCAATCTTAAACCAAAAACGAAATTTGGAATTCAATAACCCACTGCCATCAAACCACTGCCAACTCATAACGACCCTATATGGGGTTTCCCGAGGCTATAAACCTTTCATGGGAGCAGATAGTCTCATGTTTCTCTTTAGGAGCTGCTGGTGGGTTTGAACTGCTGAGCTTGACATGAACAGTTGAATGCTTACCCAACACCACCACCCTCCTTTTACAATGAAATAATTACAGTCAAACCAGAGACTCATTAAAATTCAAATCCTAGTGCCATCGAGTTGAGTCTGATAGTGACCCCTACATAGGGTTTCCGAGGCCACAACTCTTACAGGGAGCAAACCATCTCTTCTTTCTCCCAAGGAGTAGTGACCTGATGGGGCCACCAGAGCCTTATTAAACAACCCAAGCAAACAGCATGAATTTACATGGTAGATTTGGTTGCTTTACTGCAACTAAGCTATGAACCAGTTCTTAAATCAGTGACCCGTTATTTTAATAGGCCAATCAATTGAAGAGTGCACCTTAGTGTTCAATGCTGAAAAATTATGTTTTATATGGAACAGACTTTCTTCATTTTACACTTAGGGTTACATTTTCAGCTGCAAGTGGGATAAGTGAAAGGCTGGCGATGAGTTCACTGTTTCTGCTTGCAGAGCAGGGGTGGTTCTGGTAGCAACATCCCCATCGCTTTATCTATTTGAACCATGGTCGATTCTCACCTGTAGGCCATTTAGCCCTTACTTCATACATGTATTTCTGAATCAACTCTGCCTGTGCTTTTCCTGATGATCCCACTACAATGAAAATAACACACCACCCCATGTTAGTTCCATCCAAGTGTGATGTTAGGAACCAATGTTTGTATTTTTCCATAACTCAAGGAAACGAAAACCAGCCAGCCAGGAGTCCCAACAATATAACCAAGGGGAGTCCTGCCGCTTTCAGGGAATATTGTTCTCTAATGAGGTCCTCGAGCTACACAAACACGCCAGCCTTGACAGCTGAGGACAGTGCCAGCGTAGCTGGCAGTCAACCACGTGACGAGAATCACTCCATAGCCCATTTCTAAGACCGTCACTGAAACAAAACCACACGACAGTTAGCGAGAGCCCCAGACTTTAGAGAATTCTTGTGCACACATCCCACCCCCAAGGCCCGGGGCTCCGAGTTTGAAGACCCAGTATCATAGAATTTCTGAATGCAGCGACAACTGTTAACAGTTGACGGGAGATTGACAGAAATACGGGGCTTCCGAGTTGGGCTGCCAACTCCAAGGTTGGGCGGTTCAAAACTACCAGCCGCTCCTAGGCAGAAAGATGAGGCTTTCTACTTCCTGAAAGCGTTACCGTCTCAGAAACCCACAGGAACAGTTCTCCCCTGTCCTCTAGGGTCACCATGGGTCAGGATGGACTCTGGCAGTGAGTTCTGAGTCTACTTGGAAACGAGAAGGACATTCTGGGTAGTTCTAGGGAGTTCAGAGTCTGCACTGTCAGCATGAGTCGTGGCGGGTGGAAACTACACAAGCACAAGTGGCCATGGTTTTTGGACCATTTCTGGTGGGATCTAGCCATGTTACCATCTTTTTGCTTCATCCATGTCTGTTTCTTTCTCCCTCTCTTCCCTTCTTCCCCTCCCTGTCCAGAGGAATGCATGCATTGTAGTGGAGAAAATTACCAGGGCAAAATTTCCAGGACCATGTCCGGACTTGACTGCCAGGCCTGGGACTCGCAGAGCCCGCATGCTCATGGGTACATTCCCTCCAAGTAAGTCTCTCAGCGAGGGGTGGGGCCTGGGGAATGAGACATTGATGATATTAGGCTGCAAACCACAAGGCCAGCAGTTCAAAACCACAAACCGCTCTCAGGAGGCTTTTTACTCCCGTGAAGAGTTACGGTCTTGGAAACTCCCAGAGGCAGTTCCACCCTGTCCTATGGTGTTGGTGTGAGCTGACATCGACTCATGGCCGTGAGCTTGTGGTGGATAGTTCTCTCGGACACCGTAATCCTGCCCATATTCCAGCAGGACTTAGAAGTAAGTACACTTGAGACATTTTTGGACATCAGGGTGTGCACCCTCCGACTGAAACAACTCTAGAGTGTCCCTTTCCACTACTCAAAACATGCCCCGGGGCCCAGCAGCATCCACATCCCCCCGAGAGCCTGTTAGAGAGGCGGCATCTTAGTCCCACGGAGTGTGATCTGCAGCTTTCCTGCGTGCATCTTTTTTTTTTTTTAAACATTTTATTAGGGGCTCATACAACTGTTATCCCAATCCATACACACATCAATTGTGTAAAGCGCATTTGTACATCGTTTCTCAAAACATTTTCTCACCACTTAAACCCCCGACGTTAGGTCCTCATTTTTCCCCTCCCTCCCCGTTCCCCCCTCCCTCATGAGCCCTTGATAGTTTATAAATGGGTATTTTGTCATATCTTGCCCTGTCCGACGTCCCCCTTCACCCACTTTTCGGTTGTCTGTCCCCCAGGGAGGAGGTCACACACAGTTCCATGTAATCGGTTCCCTCTTTCCTACCCGTTCTCCCTTTACCCTCCCTGTTTTGCCACTCACACCACTGGTCCTATAGGGCTCATCCGTCCTGGATTCCCTGTATTTTCAGTTCCTATCTGTACCAGTGTACCTCCTCTGGTCTAGCCAGACTCGCAAGGTCGAATTCGAGTCATGGTAGTGGGAGCGGGGAGGAAACATTTAGGAACTAGAGGAAAGTTGCCTGCGTGCCTCTTAAACGTTGAGACAAACAGAGGCGTCACTGGTGTTTCCCCAGCTATCTCCTCTTCCCTCCTCTGTCCAGCGGTGAGGCGCTGGCTTCTTAACCTATGGGGGAGGGGCGGCCTGTGGTTCTGTGAGCCTCCTGACGCTTGGTGGAGTATGAGTGTGCTCTTCCGCAGTGAGGCAAAGGAAGTCTCTTCAAAAGGAATGTGGGCTCCTGCCCCGGAAGGCACTGCCAGTTCCTAGGCTAAGGTTTTCTGATGCCCCCGTCCCACGCTCGGCGCCCGCTCCTGGTCTTTCACTTCATTCTCTGGTCGGTGAAGCGAGGACCAGGGGGAGCTTCTAAGAACCGCAGAGCGGAGATCGCACTGCAGTCTGCCGGACCGTTGCTGCTCCGATCCCAAATAGCTGGTAGGACACACAAGCTCACTGCCGACGAGTCGATGCTGACTTATAGAGACCCTATAAGACAGTGCAGAGCTGTCCCTGAAAGTTTCCAAGACTGTTGACTGGAACAGAGATCCCTGTCTTTCTCCTGTGGTTTGGAACTGCAACCCCCCCCCCCCTGGCTGTGGCCTTCCTTTCAAAGAGAGATCTTTGCACACAGAGGCTTGAGGGAAGGGGAAAGCAGAAACGAACGCGAGTGGGCATGGAAAGAAAACGAAATCAGAAGCAAAGACAACAATGGCAAAGGCCCCGGGCCTTGCTGGGGGTCATTCCTCTTCCAGGAAGGTAGGAGAAGAGGCTTGCTGTGGCCACTGTGGCTGCATGTCAGAACATGCGTCTCAGACAGGGACATGGGACCAGCTCCGAGGCCCCAGGCCTGGCGTGTAACTGAGTTGTTCCAGAGAAGGGCTGAAGGAGGCTCACCCCAGACTCTATCCAGGGACAGTGCTCATGTCATGCCACGCAGCCCTCTCAGTGTATACAGGCTCGAAGGCAGCCGAAGAGAAGCTAGTGGACCAGAGGACCATTCCTAGGCTAGGAAAGTGTCCGCCTTCTGGTGCCACTGCGAACTGGATGGCTGTCTTTTGTCAGTGAGATTTTTTTTTTTTTAAGAAATTGCTTCTGTGCAGTTGAGTGACAGCCTTTCCGTCCTTCAAGATGGCCAAGCCTGTTCAGTGATCTTTGCACACTTCTTCAACAGTTAGAAAAAGTCCTTGGCCTGCTGACTGGGTCACTTGAAAAAGGGCAGCCCAGGGCCATGCCATCCAGTTACCTGCCTGGCATGCTGCAGGGCTCAATGTTGCTGCCAGGAGAAGATCGATCCTCACTGGTGAGCGCCAATCCCAAGAGCTATTCCATCCCTCTCTGCCCCATTCAGATTCCCCAGAAAGAACCTGAAGATGAACTATTGCCGGAACCCTGATGGGGAGCCCCGCCCCTGGTGCTTCACCACGGACCCCAACAAGCGCTGGGAGTTCTGTAACATCTCCCGCTGCAGTGAGTAGGGCCGTTCCGGGAGGCAGGGGGTTGGACAGCACGGCTCTTGGAATCAAGGAAAAGACATTTGTTCCTGGGTAATGTGACTTAAAGGCCAAAAAAAAAGGGCAGGTGAGCTGCTCTTGTAGAGGCTGTTGTTGTTGTTGTTGTTGTTGTTGGATGCCATTGAGTTGATTCTAACTCATGGCAGCCCTGTGCACAACAGAACAAAACGCTGCCTGAGCCTGCGCCATCCGCACAGCCATTGCCACCCCTGTACCCGTCCATCTCGTTGATGGTCTACATCAGCGGTTCTCAACCTGTGGGTCACGACCCCTTTGGGGGTCAAACGACCGACTTTCACAGGGGTTGCCCGATTCATCACAGTAGCAAAACGACAGTGATGAAGTAACAGCGAACATAATTTTATGGTTCGGGGGTCACCACAACACGAGGAACTCTATGAAAGGGTCGCGGCACTAGGAAGGTTGAGAACCACTGGTCTACATCTTATCAAGCCTGCTGTCCTTGGTAATAGACAGTGCCTCCTGATGACAGGTCCCAAGTCCATGAGACGGAATCTCACCGTCCTCACTTGTAAGCTGCCTTCTGATTGCACTTCTTCCAGGGCAGGTCAGCTCATTCTTCTGGAAGTCTGCGGTAGAGTTCATATTCCTTGCCAGTACCATCATGCCATCTTCCTGAGTTTCTGTCCATAAACATCACAGCCTGGGAAACCCAAGGAGGGTGTGTCCACTCCGGCCCGTAGAGTGACGAGGACTCGATAGCACCTAACACTACCGGGCCGCAAGTCCTGTGGATGTTAGTGCCCCATGATGCGAATGGTTAACCCCCGTGGGCGTAACCCAAAGTTTGGCGGTCTAGTCCACACCGGGACGTACTTGGGATGCCAGTGCTGGTGATTTACATCTGTAACGTCCATCACTAAAGCACTATGCGTCAGAGGTGACTTGGTAGCAGCTGTCTTCATTGATAACAGATCAGAATGGCCAGTGCTTCATCCTGCTCTCTCTAGCAGAGACTCTGGACTCTCCAGGCTCTCTGGAGCACTGCTAGATGCCAGCTCTGGGGTGGCACCTCTGGCATTCTACTTTTCACTGGTTCTCAGGGAAATGAGACCCAGGCTTTCTGGTCCATGGACCTTGCCACCAACCAGAGTTCTTCTGAGCTATTGCTCTGTCACAAGAAGGCAATTTTGGAAGCCTGGTTTCTGACAATTTCTCTCCTCCCCCAAACCATTTCACGGGGAGCTAATACAGATATCGTATTGTTCCAGAGTTCAATCACATCTAGCAGTATTGTACAAGTGCTACCGCAATCAGTTTCAAAACACTGGCTTCCTTTGTGAACTTCTCGATATCAGCTCCCCGTTACCCCTGGCCCCCCACCGTGCACCCCCCCACCCCAGGAAGGCTTATTCTGCTCGCTGTCTCTATAGGCTCATCCATCCCGGGTTTCATGTTCTGAAAACCAGAGAAACATAGAACAAAAATTCAGGAGGGTTACGCCCAACGAAAAATCACACAGAAGATAACCCCCAATATGAAAACAAGACAAAACAAAAACCTCCCCCAAACACAGAAGTATTTCTCCCTTGTGGAGGGTAGAGCACGAGGGGAAGAGTCCACGGGGAGAAGAAGACAGGGCAGACCTGGTAGAGACCCTTGGAAGTCATAGTTGTACAATGTCCTTTCTATGGGCATGCGAAGTGAGGGTCTAACAGAGGAGGCACAGGTGAGGAGGACTGGGAAGGTCCCAGGGGCTGGCTTCTCCCCCTCTGCTCAGATGACTGTGCCTTTGGGGAGCGACATGTCCATGGAGATTCATTATAATTTATTTTTCCTCTTCAAGCAACACCCCCACCATCGTCCGGCCCGACCTATCAGTGTCTGAATGGAAGAGGTGAAAACTACCGAGGGAATGTGGCGGTGACCGTATCCGGGCTCACCTGTCAGCACTGGAGTGCACAGACTCCTCATAAACATGACAGGACCCCGGATAACTTTCCCTGCAAGTAAGTTCCCCTGCTGGTCTCACTCCCTGTCTCGTTGTCTGGCCTTAGTTGAAGTGGTGATATGAACCCAGCATTAAAGAATTCTGGAATAAAAAGTGACTGAGTCTGTCCCAGGCAAGGAACGCGAACTATAGCATGGATTTTCCTCTAACGATGGTTCTCAAAGTGTGACTCCCAAGACCGGGAGTGTCAGCGTCACTAGGGTTTTGTTAGAAATGCCGATCCTTGGCACAGCTTCCTGACCTATGAATCAGGTCCCAGACACGTGTACCGATGAGCCCAGGGTTAACACTTATCATCCATCGCTGGGAGCTATGATTCTAGAAGGCAGGAAATGCATAGAAAATAGCCCATCTGCGTATTCAGCATATAGTATACTGCCCAACTCATAGCAAAAAAAAAAAGGAAAAGATTTTGCTCAACTACACGAAGTCAAGGAATACTTTCCAACCTGCCACCCAAGAGAAGAATCTAGGCCATAATTCTGTGGAATTCTGCTCTGCTCAGGCATCCCTCTGGACCACAGGCTCCAATTTATGTAGGCTACCATCTTCTCTTCAGGAAAGCAAACCAAAAACAACAAAAACGACTCAGTGTTTTCGCTGGCAGTTAAAAGCATTTGTACTGCAGCCCACAATGCAGGATGAAGTGTAGGTAGCTACTCTTGCAGCCCCCTGGGCCATCTCAGCGCTCCTCAGGGTTCTGTATCTTCCACGGTGGGAAACACTGCCCGAACGCCCATCCAACATCACCACAAACAGCCATGCGGGTGCTTCCTTTCTCTAGGTAGCCTTTTTGGAAAGCCCAAGTGGTAATCACTTTCTTCCCCCTAGAAATCTGGATGAAAACTATTGCCGTAACCCGGATGGAGAAACTTCCCCTTGGTGCTACACAACGAGTAGTGAAACCAGGTGGGAATACTGCAAGATACCAGCCTGTGAGCCATCTGCATCGTTCACAGAGATAATAAGTAAGCAAGAATAACCAGAACTTACTTTGACCCCTGACTTGACTGCTGGAGTGGGGCCGTTGTCGTTTCGTTTGGTAGTGGCCAGAGAACATGCTCTGCATACTTTTAAAGCTGTTGAAGGTTGTTTTCTGGTTCAGTTGAGCCCATCGTGAGAATGTTCTTCATGCAGATCCTCCTGAGGCTGAGTGGCATGTTCTGTAAGGGTCAAGTAGGGCAAGAGATGGTCAGTGTGATTTTTCTCTTCTGTTTTCTGACAGTCCTTCCAGCTCCTTGCCCTATACATGAGGGATGATGTCTCCCACTATTTCACGTTTTCAGGTGCCAATCTTTTACTTTAGATATTTTGTAGGTCTGTTAGGTACATGCACATTTAATATTGGCAGGTCTTCTTGATGAAATGACCCCTTTCTCGCTGGAAATTGACTAAGGAAGATCAAAGGAGAACCGATGTGTTTGAGTTGTGGCACTGGAGAAGCATGTTGAAAGTACCAGGGACTGCTAAAAGGACAAGTCTACCTGTCCTGCAAGAAGTCAGGCCAGAGCGCTATTTAGAGGCGAGGATGACAAGACTTCGTCTGACATACTCTGGACATGTCAGGAGGGACCATCCTGGAGAAGGACATCATGTCTGGTAAAGCAGAAGAGAGGAAGGTCCTCAAGGAGATGGATTCACACTGTGGCTGTAACCATGGGCTCAAGCTTCAGAACCATTGTGAGGAAGGAGCAGGACCGGGCAGGGTTGCAGTCTGCTGCACATAGGTCCCCAAAGGTCTGAACCGAGTGGATAGCACTTAATGCAAACAACAGTGTATCTCATTAGCTCTGGGACTACTCTTGCTTGGAAGGCAGCTTTGTTGTTCCGTGCCATCGATTTACAGTAACCCCATGCACGCAGAATGTCTCCCCCAGCCTCATGATGATCTTTGCTCCGTTTGAGGGCGCTATTGTAGCCCCTATGGCAATTCATCTCTTTGAGGATCTTCCTCTTTTTCTCGATCTTCTACCAAGTATGAAGTTCTGCTAACATGTCCAAAGGATGTGAGACAATCTCACCAAACTTGACTCTGAAGAATATTTGGGCTGTGCTTCCAACACAGGTTTGTTGGTGCTCCTGGAAATCCATAGTGTATTCAATACTCCTCACCCACACCAGAGAGTAATAGAGCTTCTTTTCATTAATAGTTGTGGGATGAGGTTTTTCTCAGCCTTTCCCATGGGAGTATTTAGACAACACTTATGATTAATGTTGGATTTCAATCTACCCTCTAGTTAGCTTCTCTTTGTTCTGCTCGAATCTCGTCCCCTTTTTCTGCCGTCACGTGAATTATTTTTATGTCTGTAACAGTTATCATCTGGGAACATCCCCCTCCCACCCCCTGGGTAGGGGGCAGTTCTGTCTTGTTCTATAGGGCCGCGGTGAGTAGGAATCAATTCAGCAGCAGTGATTTGCTGGCTAGTTAAGTCTGTTTTTAATATTTTAGTAGTTTTTATGAAGTTGGAAATATCCATCATTAATTTACACAGTCCATCTTGTAGTCATATTCTTCTATTTCATGTGTAATCTAAGAATGATGAGGCCAGCCATTGATTCTGCTTACTTGAGTGTGTTTCTGCAGAAATTTAGAAAAAGCTGGCAATAACAGTAAAGCCATGTTATAAGCCTTAAGATAATTGAGATCATTAAGGTCCCTGAAAGCAGCTACATTAATTTTTATGACTAAAATAACTAGTTGATACTATCAAAGCCTACATTGTTCTAAGCAATTTTTTTTGTTTCTGTTTTTAAAGAATTAAAAATTTTTAAAAATTAAAAAAAGAATAATGACCACAGTCATGTTGCTGTACCTTTAATTGTTGCAGGTGTGTTCCCAAGTGTTGTGCTATTGTTCTCAAAGCGTTTCCTTCATGAGGCTATGCATCTCACAACTATTTTTGTTTTTTTGGACCAAGCAGTTGGTCATCTTTTAAAGTAATTATAAATTTTAAAATATCACTTACACGTTCCTGTATTTTTAAAAATTGTGTCTGGTGTGCTCCGTTCTCTTTGTGTGGATCTGGATTTCCACATGCTGTCACATCCCTTCTGTGAGGAATCATTTCAACCTTTCTTACAGCACAGGCCTCCTGGGGACAATTTCTTTCCATTTATGTATGACCCAAAATACCTTAAATTTGTTGCTTCCAGTTAAAGAAATAATAATTTTATTGAGTATTCATTTCTGGATTGACAGTGTTTTCTTTGTTTTGTTTTGTTTTCCCATTCATCATTTTAAAGTTGTTACTTCATCATCCTCCGAATTGCTTCTGACCAGAAATACTACCTATACTCCTCTTTATTTAGTGCTTCTTTTTTTTTTACGGTCTTTTAAGACTTTCTCTCATCTTTGTTTTCCAGCAGTTTGACTACAATGTGTCTAGATGTGCATACTTACTGACATTTGTGGTTCTCCTGCCTGGGGGTTGAGCTCCTTGGATTTATAGACGGTTGACTTTTCATTAAAGGAGCCCTGGTGGCCCAGTGGTTAAAGTGCTTGGCCGCTAACCCCAGATAAGTACAGGTTTGCTAACCCCAGATAAGTACAGGTGTGCTAACCCCAGAGAAGTACAGGTGTGCTAACCCCAGAGAAGTACAGGTGTGCTAACCCCAGAGAAGTACAGGTGTGCTAAGCCAAAATGAGTATGTAGCCCCCATCCATCAGTCGTGTCATGAGAAAACAATATGGCGGTCTATTTCCAAAAAGATTCTAGTCTTAGAAACCCTGTGGGGCAGCCTGACCCTGTCCTAGAGGGCACATAGGATTTGGAATCAGCTTAATGACCTTGGGATTTTCATTCATTTTATAAAATTCTTAGCTAGTATCCCTTCATATGTTTCTCTTTCCTTCCCTTTCTCTTCTTCATTTGGGAGTCTGATGATCCAAATGGTCCAAGAGTTCATGCTGTCTCACATCGTTCACATTCTTGTTCTGACATTTGAACTGTCTCCACTTTTTTTCTGTAGTGGGTAGCGCTGTGATGAATCTGAATGTGAACAAACCTATTCATGGTTGGAGCGCTTACATCCGGTAGAGGGATTGCTAGGTCCTATGGAATGTCTACCCCAACTTGTTGAGGAAGCACCATCCTGCTTGCACAGTGGCTATGCCATCTAACAGCCTCACCAGCCACGAATGAGGGATCCGGGTACTCCACACTCTTGCCAACACCTATTGTCTATGTGTTTCAACTTTGCTATTAATGCTATGGTGAGGTGCTATCTCATTGGTATCTTGATCTGAATCTCATGAATGGCTAATGACTGTGAATATTTTTTTCCTATTGCCCGAATGTCTTCTTTAGTGAACTATCTGTTCATGTCATCTGCCCATTTAAAAACTGGATTATTTGTCATTTTCTCGTTGAGGTGTTGAGGTTTTCTATACACATTAGAGATGAATTCCTTGTCCATATGTCATTGTCATTGCCCAAACAAAAAACAAACCGTTTCCTAGTCTGTGGGCTCTCGGTTTACTCTTTGGTGAAATCCACTGATGCACATACAGCTCTAAGTTTCAGCAGGTCCCAGCCGTCTACTTTGTCTTTTGCGGCAGGTGGTTTTTCATTATGCTTCTCAGTTTATTTCGGCCATGTTTATAAGGCCCTTAAATTTGTCCCCATTTTGTTGGTAGCGGTGGCGATCTTTATTTTATAGAGCTAGGTTGTGGGTTTAGGTCTTCGATCCATCTTGAGTCTGTTTTTGTATCTGGTGCGTTTCATTCTCCTGCAAATACCCTCGTCTTCTGTCTGTATGTTGTTTAGTAATTGGGGCCTCGTAGTTGACAGTTAAACTGAATGTGAGTTTTGCTGTTGCAACCTTAGGTGCACCACAGACACCACCCCTTCAGCAACGGGCTGCTGTGTAGGGGAGGGCTGGGGTGCTGAGGAGTTTCCTTAGGGCTCCCATCCCCCCGAGCTGGAAGCACTCCTTGAGTGCCTGCACATTGGAGGATTCAAGACCCGCCATCTGAGCCCAATGGTCCACCAGCCGCGGTCTCAGGCAGGCTCTTTGCCCGTGGGCTTGGAAGCCAAAGCCTTCTTGGTGCTCTTTCCCACGGAGCCAATGCTACCCTGTCTCGGTGGCGGGTCTTGAGTTGGAAGAAGTAGCTGCCTCAGGCTTTGTGTCAGGGCAGGATCCTGGGTACAGGAGGGTTTCTAGCTCCTCCTCCAGGGAAATAAGGTTTTTGCCTCCAATGGTCCTTTGCCTGCTGTTCAGGACGCACACATCTGTCCTGGCTGATTCCACAGCAGCTTATGACTTGCTTTGTCTGAGCTAAAGCCCCTGGGAAACGTGTAAGAGTTTCAGGTCTGTCTTCCGCTAGCAGCCAATTACCACCTGCAGTCTGAACCTAGTGGTTCCCTACCCGTTGTTTCCCTGGACACCCCCGGAGAGCCGTGAAAACAAGCTCACGTAATTTCTAAGAGCAATTTCTAAGAGTCAGCACTCTCTTCCGTTTGTTTCCTCCTGAGTTTTGAGTTAAGCACGTCTGAGGGACACTAGGTCATTAACGTTCGAGAATGCTATGGATCTACTGCTTCATTTGCATGCTCACCTGCCTACAAATACAGAAAGGAGCACAGTGGTAAGTCCCAGGGAATACCGCACTGTTCATATCATACGGGACACGCTGCCGTGCAATGTCACACGTTCCATGCTTCCTGTCCCAGCCATTCCTCAGGCTGACTTCTTCTCTTTCCATTTCAGTGCCTCCCGAGCAGACGCCTGTGGTCCAGGAATGCTACCAGGGCAACGGGCAGAGTTATCGAGGTACTTCATCCACCACGATCACAGGGAAGAAGTGTCAACCTTGGTCATCGATGTCACCACACCAGCATAAGAAGACCCCAGAAAACTTCCCAAATGCGTATGTCTTTGATTTGAACCAGAAAAGAAGCAACAGCTAAGTCATGTTTCCGTTAGGACAGCTGCGCTTCTTTACGTTGACTTCTTAGTACCAACTTTCTCTTGGCTCCAGGGGGTGAGTCTAGTGTCTCGGGCCCCTGGCTTTTGAGCAAAGTGTCTGAAAGGAGAGAACTTAGAGCTGGCTGTATTGCCTGAGGAGTTCTTCAGAGGCACGCAGGGCGGGTGGAGGGCATGAGGTTCCACCGGGGGGACAACTAAGGAGAAGGAAAGGACTAAAGCCTCAGAAGCTCCACCTTCCTCAGCACCAGGTGAACAGCAGGCAGTCGCTCGACTAGGAATTTCATCATTCTAATCTCGAACGGTTGAAGTGAATGTGTTTGGCATTTATGTTCATGGGTGGTATGTGTGTGTGCGTGTGTGTGTGTGTGTGAACTGACCTACACAGATACACTGGATCTTGAACTCTGGTCATCTGAAGGGATAACGTTACAAGAATACGAAGAAGCAAAGCTGGAAGGCAAAAGAGAGTCAGGAAGGCTGCAGATACTGAGAAGTAAGATGGGGAGGTAGATGGACAGAGACAAGGTGTGACCAGACCAGGCTTTATACCATAAACAACTGTAATATACAGTGGGACATGCTTTCAGAAGGTAGACAATAAACATCACAGGATCGAGACCTCTTAGAGAGGGAAACATAGGATGTCAGGCTCACAGTGATCCTGCCTTGCTTTCTGGAGACTGTCTATGGACGCAACGCAAGGAAATGAAGTTGGAGCAGGTCTCCCAAGACTTGCTGAGTTGAGGCAACAGAGAGCAGAGCTTAGGGTTTCTGAAGCGTCTGGAATTGGATGGGGAATGAAGCAATGAGAAAGGATCTGTGTTAATGAGAAGGAGCTAATAAATCTGCAGAGAGGTCTCCTTAACGACCCTGGATGAATATAAAGCCGCATGCACACACATATAGAAGTTCCACCGTGTTGTATCAACAACAACTACCGGAGGATTAGTAACAGCTTCTCAGTCCATACTTGTGCCAAATGGCTCATAACCAGAATAAGAGCCCTGATGGCATAAAAGGTTACTTGTTGGGCTGCTAATGGCAAGGCCAGCAGTTCGAAACTGTCTGAGGAAGAAAGCTGAGGCTTTCTACTCCCATAAAGAGACACAGACTTGAAAGCCCACAGCGGCAACTCTATCCTGTCCTAACAGGCTTGCTATGAGTCAGACTCCACTCCATGAGTGAGACCAGTTAGTTATAATTCAGAATCAACTTGATAGCAGTGAGTTTGGCTCCCCCTCACCTTCCGCCCACCATTTAGTTGTTAGATCAGAGAAGAACCAATACAATTGCATTGTGTGAAGAATATTGAATATGCCACAGATCACCAGAAGGATGAGCACATTTGTTTGAGGAGAAGTAGAACCCAAATGCTCTTTGGAGGTGAGGATGATGAGACGTTGTCTCACATGCATTGGACATTTTTCTCTAGTCCCTGGGGAAGGGTATTATGTTTCATAAGGTGAAGCATCAGTGACAGAGGGAAAAACCCTCAACGAGCTGTGTTGATATAATGCCTGCGACGAGGGGCTCAAACACAGGGAAGATAGTGAGGATGGAACAAGGTTGGATAGGGTTTTGTCCTGTGGTACACAGGGCCACTCTGAGTCAGGGCTGAGTCAGTGGCACCTACCATTCACCACCACCACCACCACCACCAATTATAAGAGAACAGACAACCAAGTAAAAAAATTACTTAACATCTCACAAGGGAAGAGATAGGAATGGCCAATAAGAACAACATGCTCAAGGTCTTTAGCCATCTAAGAAATAAGGATTAAACAGAGACACATAAAAAGGAGATGCTGAGATACACAGCACACCCGGTGCAAACGGCTCCTATGAGAAAACAGACAGCAGCAAGTGGCACCAAGGATATGGAGCAATTGGAACGCCAGACACCGAGAGTTCCACACACCCATCACTCTCACTCGGTGAGAGTGTGAAATGATACAACCAGTTCGAAAGTAATCGGGTGGTGGTTTTTAAAATGAAATTAAACAAGCACTCACTGTATCAGCTTGCAATTCTATTCTTGAAGGAAAATAAAGACATAAGCTACACAAAGATCCATGGGACTATTCCTACAGCTTTGTTCCTAATAACCCCCAATTGGCAGCAACTTCAATTTCCATGGGTAAACAATTTGTTGTATATTTATGCAATTCAACATTGTTCATCGATAAAAGAAATAAGATACTGGTACCCCAAAGTAGTATGCTAAAAAACCTTATGTTAAGTGAGAGAAGCCAAATGCAAAAGAGGATATGCTGCATGAGCCAATTCATATGGGGGCTATTGAAGAGGCAGACCTAATTTATGGTGAATGGAATCAAAAGTATAATTAGATAGTGACACAAGGGAACTTTTTCTTTTCTTTTAAAAATCATTTTATTGGGGGCTCATATAACTCTTATCACAATCCATCCATCCATTGTCTCAAGCACATTTGGATATTTGTTGCCATCATCATTCTCAAAACATTTTCTTTCTACTTGAGCCCTTGGTATCAGCTCCTCTCTCTTGCTCTCTGGTGATCTGAGTGTGCTGGAGCATGCTGCTGTTTTAGCTTGTTCTCTGCCTCAACCTGTGAGCTACACTACTAGTGGGGCAGCCAACCAGTGGTTCGTGTCACTAGAGCTTGAGGTTCCTTCGAGACCTGCTTTGCCATGCTGCTGGTGCATATATCGCTTGAGCATGAGGCTGGTGGATCCTATTACCTTGTATTGCTTGCTGTCCATATGCCATCTGGGCCTGCTTTGCTAAGCTTCTGAGCTACTGACTGTTGCTGACGCACCCTGCTGCTTGCTGCCTGTGGGCAGACTCTGCTTGCTTTGCTCAAGGGAACACTCTACTGTCACCTTCCTTGACCTTGGACCACTGAACCTTCTGTACTGCTGTGTGCACTAATTAGCTATATATTCCTTCTTGCTGTTTAAACCTATCCTCTTTATATATATAATTATATGTGTCCTGGTTTCATTTCTATAGAGAACCCTGCCTAACACACACCATGTCTTCTTTGGGGAAATATGTTTTATTTCCAAGACATATTTTGGGGTATTCATATATAGAGAGACAGAGAGACAGATTTTTTTTATGTGACCAGAATATAATCTTAAATATACTTCAAAATCCAACGATGTAGATTATTCCAAGGGACTATGTTTGATATAGCGTGAAAGGGCAGCATTCAGATACTTTCTCTCACACACATCATTTATCTCAGTTTTTACATGGAACATCTATTATTTTGGACTTTTTAGAAAAAATATAACCTATCTTTGAGAGGGATCTGTTTGAAATCCAAGGACCATTGGTACTCGTGACCCAGTTATCATGCCTTTAAAAGAAGCATTTCCAAGTCACTTGTTAATACTTGAGGAGCCCTGGTGGCATAGTGCTTATGTGGTGGGCTGATACCTCAAGGTCAGCCGTTCGAGACCACCAACTGCTCTGTGGGGGAAAGACTAGACTTTCCACTCCTGTGAAGAGTTATAGTCTCAGAAACCTACCAGGGTGGTTCTGCTCTGCCCTATAGGGTTGCTTTAGGGCAGAACTGACTCAATGGCAGTGAGTTCGTTTTGTTGTTAGCACTTCTTTGTTGGAACAAACTTGGGCATCCCTGAAGGTTCTCCCCATCTCCTGACCCATAGCATCTTGTTGTTTTTTACAGCGACTTGATCATGAACTACTGCAGGAATCCAGATGCAGATGAAAAACCCTGGTGCTTTACCATTGACCCTGAAGTCCGATGGGAGTACTGCAATCTGAAGAAATGCTCAGAGACAGGAGGGAGTGTGCCAGTCATTCCTTTAGTGCCCCAGCTGCCAAATGTCCAGGCTCCTGCAGAAGAACCAGGTGAGAAGTCCGTGGCCACAGGTTTGGTATCGCTTTGGCACACAGAAGCAGAGATGGAAAATCTTTTTTTTTTTTTAAATCATTTTATTAGGGGCTCATACAACTCTTATCACAACCCATACACACATCAATTGTGTAAGGCACGTTTGTACATTCATTGCCCTCATCATTCTCAAAACATCTGCTCTCCACTTAAGCCCCTGGCATCAGCTCCTCATGTTTCCCCTCCCTCCTTGCTCCCCCCTCCCTCAGGAACCCTAGATAATTTGTAAATTATTGTTTTGTCATATCTTACACTGTCCGACGTCTCCCTTTACCCACTTTTCTGTTGTCCGTCCCCCAGGGAGGAGGTTATATGTAGATCCTTGTAATCGGTTCCCCCTTTCCACCCCACCCTCCCTCCATCCTCCCTGTATCGCCACTTTCACCACTGGTCCTGAACGGATCATCCGCCCTGGATTCCCTGTGTTGAGATGGACAATCTTAATGATGCAGCAGGTCCTCATCAACATTACCTTACTCCAGTGCTAGGTGAGGACAGGTGGCATGAGAGGAGGTCTGGGAGCCATTTCTGTGACTCCTGGTGTCAGGCCCGGGGGCTATTTCTCTAGGACTTGAAAACAAACGGGTTTTGAGGGATAATAGTTTGAGCCTGGGTGGATTAAGAGGTTCATAATGATGGTGCAAGGAGCCTTGGGGGTGATGTGGTTAAATCCAACCAAGAGGTCAACTCGTCAAACCCACCAGGTACTTCCTCTGTGGGAGAAAGATGAGGTGGTCTGTTTCTGTAAAGATTATACCCTTGGGAATCCAATGGACCCACCCAACTCCATCCCGCAGGTCTCTGTTAATTGGCACAGACTCAAGAGCCACGGGGTGTTTTCTGGAATGATGGCACGTGCTGAGTGGGTAATTCAAGAAAAGCAAGTCACTGCCTGATTAGCAATGACCAGCTTGGTTTGGAATAGTCTGGTTTAGAAGGACTAGTAGAATTCCAACGATGTTCTCCAACACACAGTTGAGTTTAGAGCTCAGAAGGGTTATCCAGCCTGAATGTCGGAAGTTGATTGTCATTTAAGATGGGAGGCACCATCTGCTTTCCGGACCCTTGGTTCACAACTCAAACTATTCAGCACCTGGCCCTGCAGCTGGGAGGTGGCTGTGCAGTAGTACCCTGCACCATGGCATGGGGAGAGGACCCAGAGAGGGGCCTGCCCCAGTATGGCAACTCAGGGGATCCTACGATTTACCAACCACTCTTGAGTAACACTGGCCCCCCCAGACAGTAATGGAAGCTGAGATCTTAGCTTGGATTGAGGCCTCTACTGTTCCATGGTGCACCTGCCAACGTAGGTACCTCCTCCCCAAGTGGGAGGCCCTCCCCTGGCGTTCCTCTGGCACAGGGTGGACTCACCTCTGCTTCCTCTTCCCTGCTGAGTCTGGGCAGACCAGGTGCCCCACCTAAGCATCCCTCACAGAGAAGACTTGTGATGACCCAGCCTGGTCTCTCATAGGTACTGCCCGTATTGGTACCTGGCTGAATCACACACCCTGATTGTGCTCACACACATCCTCACCCCCGGACGGAGAAGTCCAGGCACTGCTGGTTGGATTGTACAAATGGCCATTAACGCTGGTCCACCAGGCCTCCATATGGGACACATAACAAGTTCTATGGGGGGGGGGGCTTTTGGAAGCCCCCATTCCCTAGGTTTGAGGGATAAACTATCTATATTATCCCTCTCACCTCAGAGGGTGAGTATTCAGAGCATGGCTCTAGCCAAAATGATACTTTTTCTAGCAGTCTTTCCATCTGCACTCGTTTTCTCTGCACTTGGAGTGAATGAGAAATTCAAGAGTCACAGAATTGTTTATAGCAGCATCGATACTGCCCCCATCCTCACAAGCATTCTGTCTTGCTTATCGTAGTGCCCCAGCAGAGAATTCCCGGCGGACGGCCTGCTACCTTTGTGAGGGTTTTCAAGCCAATAAGCTTTTCTCCGCCCCCGCCCCCTTGGATCTTCTTAAAATAACTAAAGTTACTCGTGACTGTCACATTCCACAGTGTTCGGATGGATTTGACCACCAAGTCTATCTTCCCACAGCAACCCAAAGTCATTGGCAGTATTGGTCCATCCATGCATTCTCCCCTCACCCAGCTCTCCCTTGTCCCTGCAGACTGCATGTTTGGCAATGGCAAAAGTTATCGTGGCAAGAAGGCGACCACGGCTACGGGCACCCCGTGCCAGGCGTGGGCAGCCAAGGAGCCCCACCAGCACACCATTTTCACTCCGGAGACAAATCCGCGGGCAGGGCTGGAGAAAAACGTAAGGCACTTTGACATGGGCTCTTTTTCACCTCCTGCTGACCAGTCTGTACAGACAGAATTGGTTCTGTCCGACAGAAGAGCAAAAGGTCTGGACTTGGGGAGGCAGGAGGAAGAGATTTCAGCCAACTCTACCCCAAGGAGTACAACTAACTTGGTGGGCAGGGAACCATGGTTACCACTGGGCCCCTACCTCTTCTTTCCCCATGGGCTGGTTCTCACAGGCCTCTGGTTCTGGGTACTGGTTCTATTTCTAGTGTTTGTCCTCTAGGCTCTGGTGGTCAAAGATGCCCTTCACACTGGGTTTATGGAGGTTTCTTATATGCCATCTCTAGAGACACGTGCCAATTGACACTTGAACGAGACCGCATCTCTTCTTTAAAAACAACTTGTTTTATTTTTAAAACAACATATACTGCACGACCAACTTATAAGTGAAACGATGTGATGCTACCTATTCATGTAAAGTTCATAATATTTAGCATTATGCAACATTTGAGATATTGAGTTTGACTTATCATGAGGGTCCCTGGGGTGGGTCAGCATGGCACTGTTCGCTGCATCATTTGTCTTTATATCTGATACTGACTTTCTAAGAACTTTTGGACTAGGTTTATATATAGGACTGAGCTAATGCATTCCTGAGTAAAACAGATTTCCTGGGATTCATACTCAGTTCATGTTCCCATTAAATTGACCGGTATCCATAGAGATAGGTGTACTAGAAGAGAATTGCCAGATGAGAGGGCTTAGAAGAAAATGAATTTCGGTATCTATTTGTCTCATTAAATGGACAAAAGCCACCATAAATGGTAGGAGTTAAATGGAAACGGTTTCTGTAATTTCCGTTGAGGAAATCGACATATATCAAAATGGCGCCTCCCGGGAACCTAGTGTTCGTGACGCTTCGGTTCGATTAATGACATTTTAGTTGGCTTCTCCTAGAAACAAAGGCTTCTGATGGGGCCATGGGGACTGTACACAGTGGGTTCCCCCGGCTCCCCCACGCTCTGGGGTGCTTTTCTCTGGGGGATGCATAGAGGGCAGGAAAGGAAGACACCGGCATGCCGTGGGTCAAGCCATGGAATGCACATGATCTCCAGAAGTAAACATCCCTGAACCAACAAGCAAACAGCTTCATCAGGTAGAAAGTTTCTGGAGAAGAGCAGGGACACGGCTGGTCAACAGCATCCCTGTCTTCTCCTTCTGAGAGCACTGTTGGCCTTCACAGTGTCTGGAGGGGTGGGGTAGCTTATAGATCAGCTACCTCAGGACCCCTTGGGGCCACCACTCTCTGTCCACAGGGCAGCCTCATAGTGTGAGCTCTTTTGGAGTAAGGGGACATGATCAATGGCCCCACTGTGATTCGGAGGTTTTACAAGTACCCTCAAGATACCTGTGCCAACCTCCCCCTCACAAAAGGAAGACAGCCTTTCCTCTTGTAGGGACAGAATCACTGGCGTGGGGCCACCTTCCCCTCCCTCTTGGCTGCATTGTGACTGGGCTCATGCCCATCTGTCTATTTCCAGTACTGCCGCAACCCCGATGGTGATGTCAATGGTCCTTGGTGCTACACAACGAACCCACGGAAGCTTTTTGACTACTGTGATGTTCCTCTGTGTGGTACGTTGCTTGCCTTTTTGTAAAGAACCAACCCAATCTGCTGTTGGCAAGTCCATTCCGACTCTTGGTGAGCTGGCAGGACAGAGTAGGACTGTCCTCCCCGCCAACCCCCACCCCGCCAGGGTTTCCAAGGCTGTAGATCTTCAGAGAAGCACACCGCTACATCTTCCTCTTGCAGAGGTGCTGGTTCCCACCTGGATTTTATGAGTAGCAGCCGAGCACCGGGCCACTGGGCCACAGGGGATCCCTCTTTGAACAGAATCTGCTTCTCAAATATAGGCAGTGATCATCTCCCGAATGTGGGGGCTACAGAAGAGGCCATGTGAGCTGAACCCTCAAGGGTGGAGGTGGCTGTCCAGTGAGTGCTGGGAGTTGCTTCCCTGGGGGTATCTCCTAGTCAGGAGGAATCTCGAACCTGTCAACTCTTAGGGTCCTACTTGCTAGAACCCTCCTAACTCAAAAACTCACTGCCATGAAATTGATGCCAATTCATAGCAACTCTATAGCACAGGGTAGAACTGCCCCTGTGAGTTTCCGAGACTGTAGCTCTTTATGGGAGTAGAAAGTCCTGTCTTTCTCCTTTGGAGCGGATGATGGTTTTGAACTTCTGAGATTGCAGTTAGCAGCCCAATTCGTAACCACTGTGCCACCAGGATTCTAATTTAGGGAAATTTAAGAGCTTCCACAGAGCAAGAATAGAGGTGATCTGGTCAGCCTTGAGTGGCCCTAACGAGCTCTCCAAAGTTCAGTTTGGAAAAGACATTTGTAGCTAGCCACACAGCAGCTTCAGAGTAAGAAAACACAATAACACAGAACAGTAACACAGATAAAGGTATATAGTACACCTCGAAGTTGTCATCCTAAGAATTCGGTGACAAGTATAGCAGAGTCCCAGTTTCCCTTCTCCCAAGATGACGAATCGCTGAGCATCTACTGACTGCACAACTCAGAAAAGTGTGTCTGATAGCTCTCACTTGCTCTGAGACTCTTCTGGAGCCCAGGAGGCTTGAACCAGGAAAGGGGAGATAACATCCACTCTTAAAAGACTGGGATACCAAATCTGGAAAAGAATAAGTCCCTTTGATTTGGAACCGATATTACTTTCTGCTGACCAATCCTTTGACAGAATGTGCTGTGGGTCACAGGAAAATGGTCTCAGCGGCTCTTTTGTGTGGTCCGGTTGCATATGGCGGTGGCTGTAGAGGGGCCGAGCACTGGAGGAAAGAAATGTGTGCTGCTGGGCGATTAGACTGTGCTGGTAGTGGATGTGCCCAGGCAGTTTGGTGGCATGGTTGAGAGCATGCATCTGGGCCATTGTTCAGTGAGCAGGAGAGAGGAAGACAAGGGAAGGCTGATAGGAGACACTGGACTTGGCTGTTGTGATTGTAAGAGGGCTTTGCCTTCTCTGGGCTTGGTGTAACATGTTGTGAGGTGCCGTTGAGCTGGGTCCGACTCAAAGTGACCCTCTTCACAACAGATGGCAACACTGCCTGGCCCTGCTCCCTCCTCACCATGGTTCCTGAGCCAGAGCCCACGGCTGCAGCCACGATGTCCTGCCATCTCATTGAGGGCCTCCCTCTTTTTAGCCGCCCCTCCACTTTACCAAGCACGATGTCCTCTGCCAGGGACTGGTCTCCCTGACACCATGCACTCCATGTGTAAGACGAAGCCTTGCCACCCTTGCCTCCAAGGAGCACTCTGGCCGTACTTCATCCAAAATTGGCTTGTTTGTCCCTTCAGCTGTCTGTGGGATTTTCGACATTCTTCGCCAGCACCGTCATCCGATTGCCTCGATTCTGGAGTTCGCATGAATTTGTCGTGGGGTCTCCAGTGGGTGCTTTTGGATGTTCTGCATACATTCTCTTGGTGCCTGATCCCCACGCCCCACCCCCCTTCTCCCCCTGACTGCCTCTTCTCCTTTGGCTGGTTACTACAGGATTGTCCTGAAGTTGAGCCTTAAATTGAGTTCCCGTCATGAGTCCACAGCAGTGCCTGGGATTCACTACAACTCCCACTTAAAGTCCTCTGATTGAGCGTCAAGCCTGGGGCTCCCCTTTGGCAGGAAAAGACCGCCAGCTTCAAATGACATGACTGAAACCCTTCTTACCACGTGTGTGGTTAGCCTCACACACTACCATCATGGTGGCGGCGAACCTCACAGTCCACTGGGCACTCGTTTTAAAGATGCCCTCACCCTTATATGCCTTCTTTCTCTGATCTTGAAGAATGGGATGCGCGGGCGTCTTCCCCATGGGCAGGGAGACAAGAATTGTAGACCCAGAACTTGAGCCGGTTCATTTCCGTTTGATTCCTTCCTGCACGTTTGCATCTGTGCCCCAGCTAGACTGAATCAGAATCTACTTTTTAACAAGATTCCTAGGTGACTGTTAGAGATTCCCCAGGTCATCTTTATGTGTCCTGGGCAATGTGATTATGATGTAGATTCTGATTTGATGGTGACTTGTCTTACTCCAGGAGCCCTGTGGTGGAGGGGTTACTCCTTGGTCTGTTAACAGCGTCAGCAGTTCGAAAGCACCAGCTGCCCTGTGGGAGAAAGACAGGACTTTCCACTCCTGTAAAGAATTAGTCTCGGAAACTCACAGGGGCAGTTCTACCCTGTGCTGTAAGGCCCCTATGAGTTGGTATTGACTCAATGGCAGTGAGCTTGGTTTTAGGTTTCACGCGCGCACACGCCTTACTCCTCCCTTGGGCACATTTGGAGCGTCAATAGAATCATCCAATTCAACATTCTTTTTCTATTCTGCCTCACTCGGATGTGAAGTGTAGAAACTGGCTTTATCTGGATTGTTTTAGAATGAGGCATCTTTTAAAGCTTGGTTGTTTGTCTTTTTTCCTCTCTTTCTTTGAACGTTTCCTTGTTCGGTGCATGGAAAGTTTGAATTTTGTTTATTTTTTGAACATCTTATTTATTGTACTTTGGGCGAAAGTTTACAGAGCATATTAACTTCCCACTCAGCAATTTAAACACAGTTGGTTTATGACATTGGTTACAATCCTCCTCACTGAAAGAGCACTCTTTTTATCCACACCTCCCCTCCCTCATCCCGCCCCCACCCCCCTTTCCCGGGGTTGTTTCCATTCACTCATCCTTCTTACCTCTTCTTGCCGTCTGAACTTTTGTCCTTGACAAATGTTACCCTCTGGGTCTCGCCGGGTTGATTGCTATAAGAAGCAGGCTCTCCTCGGGCATTAGTGTTCATGTCATAGGCCTGTCTACTGTGTGGCTCCTGCCGCCATGGGCACATCAGTGTGTCTACAGTGGTGGCTTGTGTGTTAGAATAATGCTGGAAACAATGGCACCGATCTTTCAAACACCAGGAGGGTCAAGCATGGTGGACAGAAGCCTCCAGAGTTTCCAGACTAAGACATGAGGACACAGGATCTGGCAGACCACATCTACAGTCAGTGGCAGCCCTTTCCCTTCAGTGGACCACAGCTGTCCACGGGGTCATGGATTCACTTTTGGCTTCTCAATTCTGTTCCATTCGTCTGGTGTCTGTCACTGTACCAGTACTGGCTGTTTTGACGACGGTAGCTCTGTAGTAGGCTCGGTGATCAAGAAGTGCGAGGCCTCCTACTTTCTTTTCCTTCCTTAGTAGTTCTTCCCTTATCCGAGTATCTTTCTTTTCTGTGTAAAGCAAGGGATTCATTTCTTCCCCGTGGCTTGTAAGGATGTTGATGGAATCTGGATTGGAAGTGCACTAAAACGGAGGATTATTCTGGGTAGTATTAGCATTTTCACCATCTTAAATCTTCACCTCCATGAGCATGGTATGTTCTCCCAGATTTTGTGTATTTAAATGAGAAAGTTTCTCTTTTTTTCTTAAAATTTCCAAGCCTTTACATTAGTTTTAATTTACAAAGAAAACTCATTGACGAAAAAGAAATCCTTGCTTAACCTTTAAGCTGCGCATGTGTTTTTTTAAGGAGTCCAGAGGAGTGTAAAAGCTGCCTGAGAGGAGCAACATTTCACCTTCGGCGAGTTATTCTTGCTACATCCAATAACACACACATGCACATGTACACACAGTCATAGTAAAAAGTAGCCTCAGTGCCTTTCCAGTTTTTAGGAATCGTTACCTAGTTTAGATAAGGATGATGATAGGAATGATGATTTAGTGTTTTGCACATAGCACATAGTCAGAATAACACTTTTGTCAATCAACGCCATCCCAGAAAGGACTTCATCCTAATTTCTCATACCAATTTATTCATCACTCCCCAACAAAATAATAGCAAAGTATTTATATTTTTCTGAAAATAGAGGGTTGTGTGATGTCTACCATCACTTTTAAACTTAGAGAAGTCCCCAACCCCCCACTCCCCAATGCTTGTGTTTACAATTTAGTTAGGGCTTCAGAAGGCTCAGTGCTTTGGTTGTGAGATGTTCTCTGGTCCTGAAAAACTTGATAGAGCTGCTACCTTTGGCTCTGTCCAATGTGACACCCCACCCCCTTTTGCCACAGCAACCTCCTCCTTATATGACTGCGGGAAGCCCAAGGTGGAACCCAAGAAATGTCCTGGAAGGGTGGTAGGTGGGTGTGTGGCCAATCCGCATTCCTGGCCCTGGCAAGTCAGTCTCCGGACAAGGTAAGCCCGTATCCAGACAGACGGTATCCCAGCTTCCCAGGTGAGCCCTGTGAGACCCTCACATCCACGTGGAGCTCCGGCACTGCCAAGGCTAATGCCCGCCTCTGTCTTCCCAGGGAGGAAATGAACACGATTTAAAAAAAAAAGTGTTGTTTTAGGTCCTCTGCATTGAAAATTGCCAGAATCTTCCTGTTCTGTGGCACCGTTAGGAAAACCTGAAGATGCAGCAATCTATACCCAACCCAGTGTTGCTGAAAGAGTGTGGAAGGCACTTCGTGTGTGTGTGTGTGTGTGTGTGTGTGTCCCGTATCCATAATTCTACTGTCAAAGGAAAGGGTGGTGAAGGTTAAAGAAATGTGACATAGTAGGAGAGGGATGCAACCGATGATCAACAGTCCATCATAGATAAAATCCCCAAGCCAAACCTGTGGCCCTCGGGTTTTCCTGGCTGATGTCTTCATTCGCCTACTCTCCTGGGTTCACAATCTGCTTCAGAATGGCTCACACCATTGGGATGGAGCCACCACTTGCCCAAGCCGTCCTGTAAATAAAGTCAATCATTTAGAGACCATCTCCTCAAAAGTAAATTTTCTTAGGTACCATCAGCAAACTCCCAGGCCTCACAGCTATTCAGGACTGCATTTCACTCCCTGAAGGTAGCTCCATCAGATTGTTCATAACCCAACCTAACCCAACCCAACCCATCCCAACCAACCCAACTCTAACCCAACCCAACCCAACCCATCCAACCCAACCCATCCAAACCAACCCAACCCTAACCAACTCTAACCCAACCCAACCCAACTTATCCCAACCAACCCAACTCTAACCCAACCCAACCCAACC